TGGTGCTGACCTACAGGATGCGGGGGTTCACCAGTTCACTCCTGCGAGTCAGCGGGTGACCCACTGCACGGACGCTCGGACAGGCCGCCACCTGGCCACGTTTACACGTCGGCCAGGGTCGAGCCTGTACACACTGACCACTGCGTCTCCTCCAGTCCCTGCGTCTGGTCAGGTAGCTGCGTCGGGTCAGGTGTTTGCTGCAGCGTCCAGGTCTGGTCCTGAGTCTGCCCCCTGCTCGTGTCGCCTCCTGTCTCACGAGACTCTCCTCTGGCACCACCGCCTTGGCCACCCCTCCCTGCTTCGTCTCCGGAGCATGGCCTCCCGTGTCCTTGTCTCTGGTCTTCCCCGGTCCCTCCCTCCCCTTCCTCCGGGGCCAGGCCCTACCTGCGTCCCCTGTGTCGAGGGACGGCAGCGGGCTACCCCTCACTCCTCCCAGTTTCCTCCGACAGAGGCCCCGCTGCAGACGCTTCACATGGACGTGTGGGGCCCGGCCCGCGTCCGTGGACAGGGTCACGAGCGCTACTTCCTGCTGGTGGTTGACGACTACTCGCGTTACACTACAGTCTTCCCCTTGCGCAGCAAGGGTGATGTCACTGAGGTGTTGATCGACTGGATCCGCGCAGCTCGTCTCCAGCTCAGGCGGAGCTTTGGCTCGGACTTTCCTGTTCTGCGTCTGCACTCTGACAGAGGCGGAGAGTTCTCCTCTGGCCTTCTGCGAGCCTACTGTCGTGCACGAGGCATCCGCCAGACCTTCACGCTTCCGGACTCTCCACAGCAAAATGGGATTGCTGAGCGCCGCATTGGCATGGTCATGGACGTCGCCCGTACGTCCATGATGCATGCGGCTGCCCCCCATTTTCTGTGGCCGTTTGCGGTTCGGTACGCGGCGCATCAGATCAACCTTCAGCCCAGGGTCTCCATGCCGGAGACCTCCCCAGCTTTGCTGTGGACGGGGAAGGTTGGCGATGCGTCTGCGTTCCGTGTCTGGGGATCTCGGGCGTTTGTCCGCGACTTGTCTGCGGACAAGCTGTCCCCTCGTGCTGCTCCTTGCGTCTTCCTGGGTTTCCCCCCTGACGCCCCAGGGTGGCAGTTCTACCACCCCACCTCTCGCCGTGTTCTGTCCTCCCAGGACGTCACGTTCGACGAGTCGGTCCCCTACTACCGCCTCTTCCCCTACCGCACTCCGTCCCTCCCCCCGCCACCGCTCTTCCTTGTACCAGGTCCCCCCCCGGTAGACCCCCTCCCCCCTCAGGGTCCTGCCCCTTCAGGTGTGTCCCAGGTAGACGCTGTTGAGCCTGTCGAGGTCGCTGGTGACTCTGGTGCTGCTGAGGGTGCTGAGCCTGGGGGTGCTGACTCTAGGGGTGCTGAGCGTGTGGGTGCTACGCCTGGGGGTGCTGAGCCTGGGGGTGCTGAGCCTGGGGGTGCTGAGTCTGGGGGTACTACGACTGGGGGTGCTGAGCCTGGGGGTACTACGCCTGGAGGTGCTGAGCCTGGGGGTACTACGCCTGGAGGTGCTGAGCCTGGGGGTGCTACGCCTGGTGGTGCTGTGCCTGGCGGTTCACCGGGTGCTCCCTCTCGCCGAGAGCCACTCTCTCCCCAGGAGCTGCGTGAGTGGTTTGCCCGGCGCTGGAGGCGAGCTGCTGGAGCTGCTGGAGCTGGAGGTGCTGCGGGTACTGGAGGTTCTGTTGCTTCTGAGGGAGCTGGTGCCACGGGTCCCGGAGGTGCTCGTACTGGGAGTTCTGGAGCTGCTGGACCTGCGGGTACTTCTGGAGCTGGAGTTGCTGCGGGTGTTGGCGCGGGTGCTGGGGGTACTACTGGTGCTGCTGGGGGTTCTGGAGCTGGAGCTGCTACTGGTGCTGGTGCTGCCCCTGCGGGTGCTGGTGCTGTCCCTCCTGTGTCTGGAGTCGCCGCGCGGCCTCGGCCGTACTTCGTTCCGCTCCTTCAGCAGGTTCTTGGTCTCCCGCCTTCTACTAGTCCTCCTCCTCCCTTAGAGTGTCCACAGCCTGTCCCGTCGCAGTTACAGTTACAGCCGGCCTCCCCACTGCCTGCTCCGTCTCCCTACACTGGTCCTACTGGAGGTCTTGCTGAGCGTCGTGAGCCTGCGTCTCGCCCTGCGTCGCCTGTCCGTGCTGCTCGCACTAGTGGTCGCGGTTCGCGTCAGCGTCCTCCTCCTGTCCCTGGCACGCACCGGATGTCTCTGCGTCCGTCCACTGCTCCTCTGCGTGCCCCTTTGCCTTCTCCTCCTGAGTCTTCTCTTCCTACTCTTGCCGACCCGGAGTCGGACTCTCTTCGCGCTGCCAGTCCTACTGTCACGCGTCTCCTTGCTACGGTTGTCACTGACCCTTCCTTTGAGTCCACTGCTGCGTCTGCTCTAGTTGCTGAGCTCGTCGACTTTGCTGCTCGCTGTCGCCTAGACTACGTCGCCAGACTTGTTGCTGAGTCTGAGTCTGTCTGTCCTCCGTCCGTCGGGGGTGAGTGTGCCCTTGGCACGGACGTCCTTGAGGACACGCAGGAGGAGTTCTAGTGCTTGGCCGCTGCTTCACCTCATCTCGTGTCCGTACTGCTTACCCCTGAGGGAGACCCGGATGCACTTGACATCCCGACTCCGCGCTCTTACGCGGAGGCGATAGAGGGTCCCTACTCCTCTCAGTGGCAGGCAGCTATGGACGCAGAGATGGCTTCCTGGAAGTCCACAGGCACCTACGTTGACGCTGTTCCCCCTCCTGGGGCGAACATCGTCAGTGGCATGTGGATTTTCAGGGTGAAGCGACCGCCGGGTTCTCCGCCTGTCTTGAAGGCGCGTTACGTGGCTCGTGGCTTCAGTCAGCGGCAGGGAGTTGACTACTTTCAGACCTTCTCTCCCACCCCGAAGATGACCACTCTTCGGGTACTGTTGCACGTAGCTGCTCACCGTGACTACGAGCTACACTCTCTTGACTTCAGCACTGCTTTCTTGCAGGGCAGCCTGCACGAGGAGATCTGGCTGCGTCGCCCACCTGGCTTCACTGGGTCTTTTCCTCCTGGCACCCAGTGGAGCCTACGGCGGCCAGTCTACGGTCTCCGCCAGGCACCGCGTGAGTGGCACGACACACTGAGGACTACACTTGCGGCTCTTGGGTTTGCTCCCTCTACTGCCGACCCGTCGCTGTTTCTGCGCACCGACACTTCTTTGCCGCCGTTCTACATCCTCGTGTACGTTGACGACTTGGTCTTTGCCACAGCTGACACTGCTGGACTAGCCCACGTGAAGTCCGAGCTGCAGAAGAGACACACGTGCACTGACCTGGGTGAACTGCGCAGCTACCTTGGCTTGCAGATCACTCGGGACAGAGCACGCCGCACCATTACCCTGACTCAGTCACACATGGTGCAGCAGGTCCTTCAGCGCTTCGGCTTCACGTACTCCTCGCCTCAGGCCACTCCTCTGCCTACTCGCCACTCGCTCTCAGCTCTGCCTTCGGATGAGTCCGTAGAGTCGAGTGGCCCGTACCCAGAGCTTGTTGGCTGCCTCATGTACCTGATGACCTGCACACGACCTGACCTTGCATACCCTCTTAGCATTCTTGCACGCTATGTTGCTCCTGGGAGACACAGACCGGAGCACATGGCTGCAGCGAAGAGGGTGTTGCGCTACTTGTGCAGTACGTCGGGCATGGGGCTTGTGCTTGGAGGGCAGAGTCCAGTGGTCCTTACTGGGCACGCAGACGCTTCTTGGGCTGACGACCAGGCTACGCAGCGGTCGTCACAGGGTTACACCTTCAGCCTTGGTTCCGGCTCTGTTTCGTGGCGGGCTACTCGCTCGTCTTCTGTTCTCGGCTCCAGTTGTGAGGCTGAGATCTACGCAGGAGCCATGGCTGCACAGGAGCTTCGCTGGCTCACCTACCTGCTGACTGACCTCGGAGAGTTGCCTCGTTCTCCTCCAGTGCTGTACGTAGACAACAAGGCCATGCTGGCCTTGTGTCGGGAGCAGCGACTGGAGCACAGAACGAAGCACATTGCTCTCCGCTACTTTCTTGCTCGTGAGCTGCAGCAGCGTGGTCAGCTGCGTCTTGCGTACGTGGCCTCTGAGGCCAACACTGCTGATATCTTCACCAAGGCACTTGCGCCTTGTGACCATCAGCGCTTCTGTACTCAGCTGGGCCTTGTGCCTACCTTGCCTCACTTGCTCACCTCTTGACCTTGCTTGTACTGTTACATATATATATACCTGCTCTTGTTTGTCTAGCCTTTTTTATATATATGTGTACTCCTGCTTGTGAACTGGCCTTGTGGCCTTGAACTTGTGCTCGGAATGTGTGGTGACTTTGTGATCCACCCTGAGCTTGTTTTTGCTTTGCTTTGCTTGACTGGTCTTGTGACCCCTTGTTCTCCCCCACTTTGCCTATGGGGGTGTGTCAGATTTATATGACATAGCTACTGTAGGCTAGAGTGGGGTAGCACATATGGGGTACAGTTTTCTAGGGTTTGCTTCTTGTACCCAACTTTCACTTAGTCATTCTCATTCCTGTTTCTCTTAATTCACAGTCCCACCCACTCACAGAAATTGTGAACATGTTATCCATCAAACTCCATGCCTATTCTGTCAGACCACCTTCTTACCATGTGTAGTAGAAGGAAGAAGCTGGAGAGCTATTTTTACTGGTACCGTAACATCATTTAACATACCGTATCTCTCAACTGTTCAACAACCGTAGGCCACTTCATTCCACTGAGCGTGTGAACCCACTTCATTTCAATAACATACGGTACCGGTATCCCCCATCCTCTACCGAACCGTGATTACTCGGCCAAATAGTCGCCCCTAGCAGCTTCTTGTCTTTTTCTTTCTTTTTTTCCTGTATGGGCCTGAACTTGGACAGACCCTCCTCACCCATATTCACCCCTCCGCACTCCTCTTCACCCCTCCAGCAGAAGGTTAGTGGCAAGATGCAGGTCATTCCTCGCTCTCCTCAGCGCCCCTTCTGCTGCTGCGCGCTCAAACCCCATGGCTACTAGCGACTCTATGTGTGCTGCTGACGGCTCCACCACTGGTGCTGGCGGGGGGGGCTGGAGCGGGCGGGGAGAGTGGGGGGTTTGGGTTGGGGCGGGGGTGTAGAGAGGGGGAGAGTGGGGGGGTTGGGTTGGGGTGGGGGTGTTGAGAGGGGGAGAGTAGGGGGTTTGGGTTGGGGTGGGGGTGTAGAGAGGGGGAGAGTAAGTGAGCCAAGCCGATTCCCTGCCTCTGCTGCTGCTGCGCGCTCAAACCCCATGGCTACTAGCGACTCGGTGTGCGCTGCTGACGGCTCCACCACCGGTGCTGCTGGAGGGGTCTGGCATGGAAGGGTGGTGGTAGGGGAGAGAAGGGGGGAAGGGGCAGGTGGGGTAGAGAGAGAGAGAGAGAGAGAGAGAGAGAGAGAGAGAGAGAGAGAGAGAGAGAGAGAGAGAGAGAGAGAGAGAGAGAGAGAGAGATCATGTGAGTAAAGCAAGGCGGTCGTTCTCTCTCGTGAGATTCTGCCAGGACTCGGGACTTGCCTCTGCCAGGACAGCACCCATGGTTTGGCGACTAGCGACTTGATGTGCGCTGCTGATGGCTCCAATCCAATCCATCACCGGTGCTGCTGCTGGTAGGGGGTGCTGCAGGAGGGGAAGGAGGGGGAAAGAGGGTAGTGAGAGGAAGGAAAGACGGGGAGAGGGGGTAGTGAGGGGGAGTGTGAGCAAAAAGCAAGGCGGTTGTTCTTTCTTGTTTTTCTCACCAGCATGTGTTGGTGCAACGGTGCGTTGCCCCCCTTGTTGAGATGACACGCCTCAAAAGGACTGGCAGAGAAAAAGGACAAAAGAGCAGCACTACTCTCTCTAAAGCAGGTTGTTCTTCCTTCTCCTTCTCACCGGCATGTGTTGCTGCCCTGGCCGCCGCTTGTTGACACACAGACACGCCTCAAAAGGACTGGCAGAAAAAAGGACAAAAGAGAAGCAATATCTGTGAACCATCATCCAAGCTGTTCTTTCTTCTCTCTTTTTTTTTTTTTGAATTCTCAAAAAACAGTCTCACCGGCATGTGTTGGTGCCCTGCGCGCTGCTGCTGCAACTGCTGGCGCAGCTGCTGCTGCTGCTGCCGCCGTCTCTGCTGAAGCTGATCGGAAGTGGTAGCAGAGGAGGGTGAGAAGGAACCCGAGGGCCAGAGCAGCAGAGGGGCGATCCATGTTGCGGCAAAGCGAGCTATGACGTCTGGCACCTGCGATGGGGGCGGCGGGGTGGAAGGGAATGGGGAGAAGGAGGGGCGGAGGAGAGGAGGGACGACGAGAAGGGGAGGAAGGCGGGAGGGGAGGAGATGTTGAGGCAAAAAGAGCTATGCTGTCAGGCACCTGCGATTGGGGCGGATGGGAGTAGGGGCGGGGAGGCGGAGCAGCGGAGAGGAGGAGGGAAAGGGGGGAAAAGAGGTGAGGAGACAGAGAATGGGGTTAAGGCAAACGAGAACTGTAGACAGCAGTTGAGGCAGAGAATGGTGTGAGAAAAAGCAGCTACGCAGAAGAGGAGTACTGAAAATACTCTGGTGAGAGAAGAATGATGAAGAACAGCGCACTCAGCAAACTGCATGAACAAGGGGCCGTCATTCAGAGTATCAGACATTGATGGTACAGGCACAGGCACAGGCACAGGCACAGGCACAGGCACAGGCACAGGCACAGGCACAGGCACAGGCACAGGCACAGGCACAGGCACAGGCACAGGCACAGGCACAGGCACAGGCACAGGCACAGGCACAGGCACAGGCACAGGCACATGCACAGGCACATGCACAGGCACAGGCACAGGCACAGGCACAGGCACAGGCACAGGCACAGGCACAGGCACAGGCACAGGCACAGGCACAGGCACAGGCACAGGCACAGGCACAGGCACAGGCACATGCACAGGAACATGCACAGGCACATGCACAGGCACAGGCACATGCACAGGCACAGGCACAGGCACAGGCACAGGCACAGGGATAGGCACGGGCACAGGCACGGGCACAGGGACAGGCACAGGGATAGGCACGGGCACAGGCACGGGCACAGGCACAGGCACAGGCACAGGCACAGGCACAGGCACAGGCACAGGCACAGGCACAGGCACAGGCACAGGCACAGGCACAGGCACATGCACAGGCACAGGCACAGGCACAGGCACAGGCACAGGCACAGGCACAGGCACATGCACATGCACAGGCACAGGCACAGGCACAGGCACAGGCACAGGCACAGGCACAGGCACAGGCACAGGCACAGGCACAGGCACAGGCACATGCACAGGCACAGGCACAGGCACAGGCACAGGCACAGGCACAGGCACAGGCACATGCACAGGCACAGGCACAGGCACATGCACATGCACAGGCACAGGCACAGGCACAGGCACATGCACAGGCACAGGCACAGGCACATGCACATGCACAGGCACAGGCACAGGCACAGGCACATGCACAGGCACAGGCACAGGCACAGGCACATGCACAGGCACAGGCACAGGCACAGGCACAGGCACAGGCACAGGGATAGGCACGGGCACAGGCACGGGCACAGGGACAGGCACAGGGATAGGCACGGGCACAGGCACGGGCACAGGCACAGGGACAGGCACAGGCACAGGCACAGGCACAGGGATAGGCACGGGCACAGGCACGGGCACAGGGACAGGCACAGGGATAGGCACGGGCACAGGCACGGGCACAGGCACAGGGACAGGCACAGGGATAGGCACGGGCACAGGCATGGGCACAGGCACGGGCACAGGCACGGCAGGCAAAGGCTCGGCTTTCCCCTCCCCACCTCGCCCTCCCCTCCCGACCTCTCCCTCCCCTCCCCACCTCGCCCTCCCCTCCCAACCTCTCCCTCCCCTCCCCACCTCGCCCTCCCCACCCTCGCCATCTGCAACAGCGAATTTAACCTTGCCCTTTTCCCATCCCACCTTGGCCTTGCGCACTCCCAGGGCGTTGCAGCGATAGAGCGCCCCTGCTACGATCCCCGCTGCCGCAGGCACGATGGAGGAGAGACCCGAGGAGAAGAGCAGCTGGCGAACGGTGAGGGAAGGGAGGTAGAGGAGGGAGATTCAGCAGCAGCAGCAGCAGCAGCAGGCGGATGGATACAGCAGCCAAGCAGCCAAGAGATATTTGACAGATACACGGGGGAGTATTTGGAAGATAGAGCGACAGGAGAGTTGACTTTTGAGTCGACTCAAAAGTCAATAGCAGCCAAGGGATAGGATACATGGGGGAGTATTTGGAAGATAGAGCGACAGGAGAGAGGGCGATGAGATTTTAGGTGGTAGTTCTTGAAAACCCTCAGAAAACCCAAGGGAGGGCAGAACTTATTGGGCGATTTAAAGAAATGGGATGGGGGAAGGCAAAGGGCAAGGGGCAAAGGGGGAAGGGTGAAAGTGTGGGCCAACCATCTAATCCTTCCCCCTGTGCCCCTTGATATGGTCTCAAGATTGCCCAAGCATCCAATCTTGACACTTTGCTTTACATCTCCCACCTCGCACCTCGCTTTACATACATGGAACTTTGCCCACCACCTCCGTCACCCACTATCCCCCCCTCACCCACATTCCCCCCCTTGACCCACCCACCAACCAAGCAGCCCCTCTCCCCTCTCCCCTCACCTGCAACTCCTCTTCCCTCACCTGCAACTCCTCTTCCCTCACCTGCAACTCCTCTTCCCTCACCTGCAACTCCTCTTCCCTCACCTGCAACTCCTCTTCCCTCATCTGCAACTCCTCTTCCCTCACCTGCAACTCCTCTTCCCTCACCTGCAACTCCTCTTCCCTCACCTGCAACTCCTCTTCCCTCACCTGCAACCCCTCTCCCCTACCCCTCACCCTCTCACTTGCAGCCCTCCCAGGTACACGAGGGCTTTATCCGAGAGCGGGACGCGGGAGAGCAGGAGGTAGCGTGCGGTAAGAGCCACATCCCGCATCATCTGCAGTCCTACTGAACTCCACACCACACCCCCCACCCTCTCACCTGCAGCCCGCCCAGGTACACGAGGGCTTTATCCGAGAGTGGAACACGCGAGAGCAGGAGGTAGCGCGCGGTGGGAGGCACATCGGCAAAGAAGAGCAGGAAGAGCGCGAAGAGCAGCCCGAGAGGGCCCGATGCCGGGTGGAAGGAGGGCGGCGGGTCGTCTAGGGGAGAGGCTGCTGGGGCTGATGGGTTGACGAGGGGGGAGGGAAAAAGGGGAGACGAGAAGCGGGGAGCAAAGGCGGGAGCGGAGGGGGGGGACAAGACGAAGGAGGGAAGGGAGAGAGAAAGGGAGAGGGCAGGGGTGTTGAGGGAAGGAGAGCAGGAGGTAGCGCGCGGTGGGAGGCACATCGGCAAAGAAGAGCAGGAAGAGCGCGAAGAGCAGCCCGAGAAGGCCCGATGCCGATGGAAGGAGGGCGGTGGATCATCAAATAGGGATGCTGCTGGGGCTGATGGCGGGGGGAGGGGGACGGGGAGGGCCGAAGGGGGGACTGAGGGATTTGGGGAGAGAGGGACGGGGGGAGGAGGGGAGGGGGTAGGCACGTGGCATAGGGTGGAACAGAGGGGGAAGGTTGTTGAGCGAAGAAACGCAGGCGCAAGAACCGGAGTAACAAGAGTAACAACAGCAGCAATAGCAGGAACAAGAGCAGGAACAACAACAGCAACATGAGTGGCAAGGCAAGACATGCAAGAGGTGAACTCACAGGGCAGAAGGAGGACGATGAGGAGTTGAAGGGCGAGAGCGACCAGAGACGAGAAGGAACAGAGAACCTGCGGGGCAGGCATGGGCATGGGCATGGGCATGGGCATGGGGCATGGACGCACAGAGGTTTGAGAAGCACACATGTGCAGGAAATGGAATGGAGTGTAACCATTCATCACATACACATGAATCTCCTCAAACCAAGAGGAAGTGGGAGAACAGGGAACCAATCGCCCTTCCTCCCAGTTCATCAGCCTGAGACCTGCCCACAAAAATCTCTCCCCAAACCAGCACACATGGGATACACACACGCACGCATCCCGATCCCACCCCCATGCCCAACCCCATGCCCACCCCCATGCCCACCCCCATGCCCACCCCCGTGCCCACCCCCGTGCCCACCCCCGTGCCCACCCCCGTGCCCACCCCCGTGCCCACCCCCGTGCCCACCCCCATGCCCACCCCCATGCCCACCCCCAGACCCAACCCCATACCCAACCCCATACCCACCCCCATGCCCACCCCCGTGCCCATCTCCATCCCATCCCCCCATCCCCATCCCCATCCCCATCCCCATCCCCACCCCCACCCCCACCCCCACCCCCACCCCCACCCCCATCCCCATCCCCATCCCCATCCCCCCATCCCCATCCCCATCCCCATCCCCATCCCCATCCCCATCCCCACCCCCACCCCCACCCCCACCCCCACCCCCACCCCCACCCCCACCCCCACCCCCATCCCCATCCCCATCCCCATCCCCCCATCCCCATCCCCATCCCCATCCCCATCCCCATCCCCATCCCCATCCCCATCCCCATCCCCCCATCCCCATCCCCATCCCCATCCCCATCCCCATCCCCCCATCCCCATCCCCACCCCCAGCCCCCCATCTCCACCCCCATCTCCACCCCCATCTCCACCCCCATCTCCACCCCCATCTCCAACCCCATCCCCATCCCTATCCCCATCCCCATCCCCATCCCCATCCCCATCCCCCATCCCCATCCCCATCCCCATCCCCATCCCCATCCCCATCCCCATCCCCATCCCCATCCCCCCATCTCCACCCCATCCATCCCCATCCCCATCCCCATCCCCCCATCCCCATCCCCATCCCCATCCCATCCCCATCCCCATCCCCATCCCATCCCATCCCCATCCCCATCCCCATCCCCCCATCCCCATCCCCATCCCCATCCCCTCCCCATCCCCCCATCCCCATCCCATCCCCATCCCCATCCCCATCCCCATCCCATCCCACCCCCACCCCCCACCCCCCCACCCCCATCCCCACCCCCACCCCCATCCCCATCCCCATCCCCATCCCCCCATCCCCATCCCCATCCCCCCATCCCCATCCCCATCCCCATTCCCATCCCCCCATCCCCATCCCCATCCCCATCCCCATCCCCATCCCCATCCCCCCATCCCCATCCCCATCCCCATCCCCCCATCTCCACCCCCATCCCCATCCCCATCCCCATCCCCATCCCCCCATCCCCATCCCCATCCCCCTCCCCCCATCCCCATCCCCACCCCCAGCCCCCCATCTCAACCCCCATCTCCACCCCCATCTCCACCCCCATCTCCACCCCCATCCCCATCCCCATCCCCATCCCCATCCCCATCCCCATCCCCATCCCCACCCGCATCCCCATCCCCATCCCCCCATCCCCATCCCCATCCCCCCATCCCCATCCCCATTCCCATCCCCCCATCCCCATCCCCATCCCCATCCCCCCATCCCCCATCCCATCCCATCCCCATCCCCCCATCCCCATCCCCATCCCCATCCCCATCCCCATCCCCATCCCCATCCCCATCCCCATCCCCATCCCCACCCCCATCCCCATCCCCATCCCCCCATCCCCATCCCCATCCCCATCCCCCCATCTCCACCCCCATCCCCATCCCCCCATCCCCATCCCCATCCCCATCCCCATCCCCATCCCCATCCCCATCGCCATCCCCATCCCCATCCCCATCCCCCCATCTCCACCCCCATCCCCATCCCCATCCCCCCATCCCCATCCCCATCCCCACCCCCACCCCCACCCCCACCCCCACCCCCACCCCCACCCCCACCCCCACCCCCACCCCCACCCCACCCCCACCCCCACCCCCACCCCCACCCCCACCCCCACCCCCACCCCCACCCCCACCCCCATCCCCATCCCCATCCCCATCCCCATCCCCATCCCCATCCCCATCCCCATCCCATCCCCATCCCCATCCCCCCATCTCCACCCCCATCCCCATCCCCATCCCCATCCCCCCATCCCCATCCCCATCCCCATCCCCATCCCCACCCCACCCCCACCCCCACCCCCACCCCCACCCCCACCCCCACCCCCACCCCCACCCCCACCCCCACCCCCACCCCCACCCCCACCCCCACCCCCACCCCCACCCCCACCCCCACCCCCACCCCCACCCCCACCCCCACCCCCACCCCCACCCCCACCCCCACCCCCACCCCCACCCCCACCCCCACCCCCACCCCCATCCCCATCCCCATCCCCATCCCCATCCCCATCCCCACCCCCATCCCCATCCCCATCCCCCCATCCCCATCCCCATCCCCATCCCCATCCCCATCCCCATCGCCATCCCCATCCCCATCCCCCCATCTCCACCCCCATCCCCATCCCCATCCCCATCCCCCCATCCCCATCCCCATCCCCATCCCCATCCCCATCCCCATCCCCATCCCCACCCCCACCCCCACCCCCACCCCCACCCCCACCCCCACCCCCACCCCCACCCCCACCCCCACCCCCACCCCCACCCCCACCCCCACCCCCACCCCCACCCCCACCCCCACCCCCACCCCCACCCCCACCCCCACCCCCACCCCCACCCCCACCCCCACCCCCACCCCCACCCCCACCCCCACCCCCACCCCCACCCCCACCCCCACCCCCATCCCCATCCCCATCCCCATCCCCATCCCCATCCCCATCCCCCCATCTCCACCCCCATCCCCATCCCCATCCCCATCCCCCCATCCCCATCCCCATCCCCATCCCCATCCCCATCCCCATCCCCACCCCACCCCCACCCCCCACCCCCACCCCCACCCCACCCCCACCCCCACCCCCACCCCCACCCCCACCCCCACCCCCACCCCCACCCCCACCCCCACCCCCACCCCCACCCCCACCCCCACCCCCACCCCCACCCCCACCCCCACCCCCACCCCCACCCCCACCCCCACCCCCACCCCCACCCCCACCCCCACCCCCATCCCCATCCCCATCCCCATCCCCATCCCCATCCCCACCCCCACCCCCACCCCCACCCCCACCCCCATCCCCATCCCCATCCCCATCCCCATCCCCATCCCCATCCCCATCCCCCCGTCTCCACCCCCAGCGGCCTCACCACAAACTCTGCCGACGCCATCTGGCGCTCAAAGAAGCACAAGGAGTAGAGCAGCCAGCTGGCGACCCCGTCCCTCTCCCCATCCCCATGCCTGCGCCTAAGTTGGAATATACGCTTAACACCTTAAGTGTACAGCGTATGTACGCTAGCGTACACACGCTATACGCTATACGCTCTTAGAATTTTTTTAGGGCTGCCCGAAAAAAAAAACGCAAAAAAGATGCGGATTTCCTAGGTGAGAATTTCGCCGTAGTCGAAATTCAAATCCGCGGTCCAGGCAAACGGGGATCTGACGAAGTCGTCAGGCAAATGTTGAAGTTCAGATCCCATCTAGGCATTGAAATCCATCTCTTCTACCGCATTGAACCCCACTTTATCTACAAACTCCAACCTGTCAAAAGTAACCCCCCAACAAGTACTACTTACCAGCCAGCCCTGTTGGCTAACCCTAACTCGTCATTTGGTTCCCGCTTTCACCAGAGTTCACTCACGCTACTTCGCTTTCTAGCTATTATGTCTACTCCACCTCCCATTGCATTCGTCATTCGGAATCAGGATTATGCAAGGGAAAGCCTTAGTGAGAATAGGGAGTACTATTATTTCACCCTGCCCGGAAAGTTTTTTCTCTGCCCGAAAAAGCGTATCTCCAAAACGAACCCCTAAGCGGATAGCGTATGTACGATACGCGAATATACGCTGTACGCGTATATTCCAACTTAGGCCTGCGCATAGGTATTCCCATCCCCCACCCCCAGACCAGAGGTCCCGCCACACAGCCTCACCACGAACTTGGCAGAGCCGAGCTGGCGCTCAAAGAAGCGCAAGGAGTAGAGCAGCAGCGACCACACCAGCAGGTCGGGCGTGCTCCCCACACACACCTGCGACAGGGCCACACGCCACCACTCCCCGCGCGTCAGCAGGGCCTGTTGGGGGGGAAAGGGGGGGTGAGTGTTGGGTTGGGCAAAGGCAGGGTGGGTTTTGAGGCGACGGCGGCGGTAGCAGCAGCCGGTGTAGGGGGGTGCAGTGGAGTGCCCGCCACACACACCTGCGACAGTGACGCGCGCCACCACTCCCCGCGCGACAGCAGCGCCTGTTGAAGTGGGGAAGGGGAGGCGAGGGCAAGGGCAAGGTGTGTTTGAGGCGGCAGCAGCGGGTGGAGGGGATTGCAGGTCGGGCATGCCCGCTCGCCACGCACACCTGCGACAGCGGCGCCACACGCCACGCCACCACTCCCCGCGCGACAGCAGCGCCTGTTGAAACGGGGAAGGAGTTGTTGTGGGCTGGGCGCAGATGGGGGAGTGTTTTGAGCCGTCTCAAATGACTACTTTTATCACTCCCCGCGCGACAGCAGCGCCTGTTGACAAGGGGAAGGAGTTGTTGTGGGCTGGGCGCAGATGGGAGAGTGGGGGGCGGGCAAGGGTACAGGTAGGTAGGGTGTGTTTCAGGTGGCAATGGAGGAAGCAGCAGCGAAAACAGCAGCTGCAGCAAGCAGAAGCAGGTGGTTGTGGGGACGGGCGGCAGGGGCCGAGCGGCGGGGAGCGGGGGCGGGGGGGAGAGGGGGGAAGAGTTGTGCGGGGAAGGGGGCAAACCTCTCGGGAGAGCGCAAAGGGGTGGTGGGAGGAGTGTGCGGAGCGCGAGGCGAGCACGAGAGAGAGCGCCGCACACACCAGGATGATGGCCTTGGTTGCTGGCGCGCCCTCTGTGGCATGGCATGGCGCACGGAGGAATGGGAGGGCACGGGGGAGGGCACGGGGGAGGGCACGGGGGAGGGCACGGGGGAGGGGCGGGGAGGATTTAGGAGGCGCTTCAGGAGCACACGACGATGGTGGCATTCGCTGCAGGCGCGACCTCTGAAGGATGGCGGGAAGCCAAAGGGGAGCGCATGGGGAATGGAAGCGGGAGGGGGAAGAGGGGGGAGGACGGGAGGAGGGAGGTGTAGGGGGATGTGGCGGGGTATAGCGGGGTGTGGCGGGATGGAGATTTGCGAAAGAGATGGGAATTCATCGATGCGGGGTTGGCCTTCGCTGATAGCGCGGCCTCTGGTGGTGAATAAGGAGGGGCGAGGGGGGAGGGGAGGGGGGGGGAGGGGGGAGTGAAGTTTGGATACGGCGGGGTGGGAGGGACGGAGGGAGGGAGGAAGGAAGAGGGAGGAGGAGGAGGGAGGAGGAGGAGAGAGGAGGAGGGAGGAGGAGGAGGATGGAGGAGGAGGGAGGAGGAGGAGGCAGGTGGAGGAGGGAGGAGGAGGAGGGAGGAGGAGGAGGATGGAGGAGGAGGGAGGAGGAGGAGGGAGGAGGAGGGAGGAGGAGGAGGGAGGAGGAGGGAGGAGGAGGAGGATGGAGGAGGAGGGAGGAGGAGGAGGCAGGTGGAGGAGGGAGGAGGAGGAGGGAGGAGGAGGAGGGAGGAGGAGGGAGGAGGAGGAGGATGGAGGAGGAGGGAGGAGGAGGAGGGAGGAGGAGGGAGGAGGAGGAGGGAGGAGGAGGGAGGAGGAGGAGGATGGAGGAGGAGAGAGGAGGTGGAGGCAGGAGGAGGAGGGAGGAGGAGGGAGGAGGAGAAGAGGGCGGCGAGCCGGTCAAACTGGGCAGCGCGTGGGAAGGGGAGAAGGGGGGAAAAGGGGGTGGAGGGGGGTGGGGGTGATTGTGAAGGAGGTTAGATGAAATCGGTGCAAAGCGGTGGCCTTGGAGGGAAAAGCTATTCCAAAACGAAGCGGCGCATGGCGGGGCTTTAATAGTTGAGGCGCAACAAAAGACCAAGGTCCGCAAGGCGGGGATCAGTACAAAGAAAACCGCGAGGACTAGAGAGGGCCTACTAATGCAGACGTTCCCACGGGCCAGGCGAAGCAGCGTAAATCATAAAACAGCCACGCACGAACGAAACAGGTCAAGCGAAAACAACAACGGCCAGGCCGCCATGAAACCATTGGCCAGGCTGGCCGCGAAACAACGGCCCGGCCGGCGCTTGAACGAGCTATGCTTCTAGTACGTTTGAAGTCTCTCGAAATCGAACATGAAACGGCTCTAACGAACATCCCCGCCGCCTCACTAACAGTCGTTTTGAACGAGCCGTTGCACGTGGCGGCCGGTCTCGAGAGATGCGGGGAAAAGCAGCAGAACTCGAGAGCGCGAAAATATGTATGGCGGTAACACGCGTAAAAACTGCGCAGCACGCAAGCACTACTTGATAGAACGCGTTCGTTCCTAAGATAGAACTCGTTGGTGAACTGACCGTACTGAACAATCCTTAATGAGCACCCCTTGACTAGCACACTAGCACGACCAGTAAGCAATTCGTGGGGTGCAGTGACAAACGCGTTTTGAGACTTGACTCACGGAATCCCGACGGCCCTGAATACATCCTGCACGGGCCGATCCTCGACCACCCGACCAGAGCAACCCTTAAGTGGCGCACCCCACGCAGCGAACGCCTTGCAGCAGCAGGTTAAGACGCTGCGCCAACTACTAATGCGCAACGTGACGCGATGACGCGATACTGCACGGTTTCAGCAAGGGAACGCGGCAGTTACCATTATCAACCCAACAAGCTGTGATGCCAACCATCAAGTCAAGATGTGATGCGAGAGACTAGTCAACGCTAACGGCGATTTAGTGTTTCTAGATGCCTCTACATATTTTGTAACGACATTCGCGAAGCAGGCGAATGCAGATCAGAAGGTTTGGACGAACTATGCGAACCTTTTTGCAACCGTATGGTCGAATTGATTGGATGGCCCACAGCGGACACCCCTGCCTAGACCAATCAGCACGGAGAAGCGCAATGCCCGGCGAAAAGTGGCTGAGCTAAGTAACTGCGTTAAAGCAAGGGTGCACATACCTAGGGGTGGGTTTCGGGTGTATTTGTTTGGTACACCCCTTGGGGTGCTGTAAATGGTTGGCGAAGAGTCCAACCATATGAAACACTAGAGCGAGGGTTGGAGAATGTGCTCGCGAACACAAAAATAATTCGTCCTGAACAGACGACGGAAGGTGAGGCAAGTGATAAACCTTTGCCTCCACCCCCCCAAAGTGCACCCTTGCTTTAAAGCAGCGGTCTTCATACATCTGGGTTTTTTTACGGGTATTTCTATTGTACACCCTTTGACACAGGTTGATTCGCTTGCGAACAAGCTCCCGCTCGGAACTGTGCGTGCGACCCAGTCAAAAAAGACTGGCGGAACTACTCAGTTTCGCTAGGGACGATGGGATGGGATGGGAATCAAGCGAAACTTTGGTTATTTCGTGAGGGAGGGAAGGGCGGGGGAAGAATGTGCGGAAGGGCTCAAGCCCTAGGTCAGCTTTCGGGCCATGTTCGATAACATTACGGAACGGGGACGTGAGGTGTTGGTTCTGTGAGTTTCTTCTCGAACCAGACGCAACAAAATTTTGCAACCGCCAAAAGTTCCCTAATCCCGTTCCGTTATCGAACAAGGTATCGATTGGTTTGGGAACCCCCAGTCCCCTCCCTCTTTCCGCCTCGATTGTTTCTTCACATACAGGTACTTGGTTCACCCGATTTGCAAGTGATAAACCAAGGCCTGTCCCTGAAAGTATGTAGACCGCAGCTTTAAAGGGTAGCCAACAGTCGAATGACGAGTGGGACGTGTTGATACGGTGGAGTATCACGGATCTGTGATACCGACAGGTACCTGGAATCAAGATTCAGGAAAGTTGCGGATGGCCCGCCTGCAGTTGCATCTGCCTGCCAGACTGGGGAGGTTTGGCATACGATCGGCAGCTGACCTCAGCCCTCTGTCGTACGCATGCGGTTGGTGCCAGGCAGTGAGCGATGTGGCTCGCATGGGGGTGGCAGGAGAGGAGCGGATGTTTGAGGAGAATTTCCGCACGCCCGAGGCTACGACCTTGCCGGATCCCTGGTTCGCGCGAGCAGTGGAGCTGCTTCCACAGCCGGTTCGGCAGGAGATACCGCCCCTTGTTTTGTGCACTCCTGACCTCCAATTGTTGCTTTTCCCTACTCAACACCGTCCCCTAGCGGTCGAGAGCCTGCAGTCTCTTCGGGGCATGGCCCACGATGATGCCACCTTGGCCCGTTTGACATCCCTACAGGGCCCGGGGGCGGGGGCGTGGGTCTCTGCCGTTCCGTCGCATGACGAGGCTACATTCACCGCACCAGAGTGGAGCATCTGTGCGGCCATGTGTCTAGGCCTCCCTATCGTGCAGCTGGTAGTTGCCGGCAAATGCGCCTGTGGGGTCGAGATCCCCATTATGCCCTTCGCTGCAAGCATCAGTATGCACCTTCTCGAGTTCACGATGCGGTTAAGATCGTGGTGGCGAAAATAGCTAAAGCTGCAGGTGGAGTGGTGACTATAGAGGACGATACGTTGCTGCCAGGGAAGAAAGTGGATGTGGCGGTACGGAGATCGAGGGAGGGAGAGGAGCATGCGTTGGAGGTTAGCGTCGTAGATCCTATTTCTCTGTCAGCGCAGCACCACGGACAGATCGGCCGCAAGGTGGGTTTCGCTGCTAGAGAGAGAGAAAAGCGGAAGGCAGCAGATTACAAATTGCTTTTGTAGCGGCATAGGGGTGCAGTTCACGCCTCTCATTGCAGAGACCTGGGGATGTCTTGGTGGGAGCTTTGGACGATGGCTTAAGAAACAGGGTGATACACAGATTGAGGTAGCATAGACGAAGGGAGCGGCGAGGGCCACGGGAAAGGGTTGTTCTGCTTATCTGCTAGGGTCACTTAAAGCAGCCATACGGGTGGCTCTGTAGCGCGCTCAGGCACGAGTGCTCTTGCTACGTGCGGTGTCGATGATGAGAGGTCCATATGTCGTTTGGGTTGGGCGGGAAGATATGGAGTGTTGGGCTGAGAAAAAGCCCTTAGGATCTTTTCAAAGCTAAACTCTGAGTAGAAGTGTTGTATTTGCGAAAACGTTTAGTAACAAGTGTGTGAAAGAACGAGGAAATGAATGCACTAGGAAACAGTGTCAGAATCGTAGGTAGAGTTAGGAGCCATAGCTAGGTAAGTCCTAGCTAGGCAAGAGAAGTTTAGGCAAAAGAAGAAGAGTTCACTAGCAGCAATGAGGATACATATAGCAAACCCTAGATGGGTTGTACTCGCTATAGAGCACCCCACTACAGGCTAGAGAATAACATTCTGACACACCCCCATAGCCAAAGTGGGGTGTAATCAGTACAATGAGCAAGCAGGTATAGAGCAGGAGTTCACAAAGGTAAGCAAAGCTAGAGCTAATCACAGCGGGCAAGTGAGGAGGAGGAGGAGCTGTGGAGGTAGAGAAGATGGGAGGCAACGACTGAAGCTGCAGAGGCACGGGCACAGGAGCGGCTGACTCAGAGGCTACCGAAGCAAGGGCGACGGACTACTGGAGTAACTGGCTCGGCGGCTATAGAAGAGCGGCAGGAGCAACGGACCCACTGGCGACTGGTGCAGCAGGCTCACTGGCTACCGAAGCAAGGGCGACGGACTACAGGCGCTGCAGGCGACACGACAGGTACCTCCACACAACCTCCTCCAACTGCCCCAAACCCTCGACACACACCCACTGCTCAAACCCTAGCTCCACTCCCACGCACCCCCCTAAAACCCTAAACCCTAGGCTCCCACACACCCACCCCCCTCAGCGGCAGCTGCAGCAGTGGGAGACCAGGGAGGAGGAGGAGCAAGGGGAGTAACACACAACCGCCACCCCCACACTCCTCACCCCCAAACCCTAATTCAGGAGAACGGGCAGCAGTAGGGGTGGGGCACCGTCAGAAGCACGGGGGACAGCGAGCAGCTCAGGGACAGAGAGGAACGGGCCGCCCACGGGCCTGGCACAGCCCGACGAACCGCGCGCAGGCGGCCCGAGCCGCGCGCGGGCCTGGCGCAGCCCGGACGGAGGACAGACAGACTCAGACTCAGCAACAAGACTAGCAGCGTAGTCTAGACGACAGCGAGCAGCAAAGTCGACAAGCTCAGCAACTAAGGCAGACGCAGCAGTGGACTCAAAGGAAGGGTCAGTGACAGCAGTAGCCAGAAGACGCGTGACAGTAGGACTGGCAGCACGGAGGGAGTCAGACTCCGGGTCAGCAAGAGCAGGAAGAGAGGACTCTGGAGGAGACGGCAAAGGGACACGCAGCGGAGCAGTGGAAGGACGCAGCGCCATCTGGTGTGTGCCTGGGACCGCAGGAGGACGCGGACGCGGAGCACGACGACTAGTGCGAGCAGCACGAACAGGCGACGCAGGACGAGACGCAGGCTCACGACGCTCAGCAAGACCTCCAGTAGGACCAGTGTAGGGAGAAGGAGCAGGCAGCGGGGAGGCGGGCTGTAACTGCGACTCAGACAGGATAGGCGGCGGACACTCTAAGGAAGGAGCAGGACCAGTAGAAGGCGGGAGACTAAGAACCTGCTCAAGGAGCGGAACGAAGTACGGCCGCGGCCGCGCAGCGCCTACAGTGCCAGCAGGGACAGCACCAGCACCCCCAGTGGCAGCACCAGCACGAGTAGCACCCCCAACTGCAGCACCGCCAACTCCAGCACCCTCAGAAGCACCAGCGCCAGCAGCACCTCCAGCGCCAACACCCCCAGCAGCTCCAGCTCCAGCCGGACCACCGGAAGACTCAACAGCCAAAGCTCCAGCACCTCCAGCAGCACCTACTCCAGCAGCACCGCCAGCTCCAGCACCGCCAGCAGCTCCAGCACAAGGAGCACACCCAGGCCCAGCAGCTCCAGCACCTCCAGTACGAGCACCTCCGGGACCCGTGGCACCAACACCCTCAGTAGCAGCAGAACCTCCAGCTCCAGCAGCACCTCCAGCTCCAGCAGCACGGCTCCAGCGCCGAGCAAACCACTCGCGCAGCTCCTGTGGAGAGGGCAGCTCCCGCCGGGACGAAGCACCCGAGGGACCTCCAGACCCAGTACCGCCAGACACCACACGAGCAGGCCCAGCACCCTCAGGCTCCGCACCCCCAGGCTCAGCACCCCCAGACTCAGCACCCCCAGACTCAACACCCCCAGGCTCAGCACCCCCAGACCCCGCACCCGCAGGCTC